ACTTAACGACCGACCCTTGGTTTGTACCGTACTTTAATCAAAGTTTTTGTTACTCGTCAATTGCTGAGGCTAACTCGGTTCCAAAAACGTATAACGCAGCTCTGGAATCTCCTCAATCGGCAGATTGGTTAGAAGCAATAAACTTGGAGCTAGCTTCCATGGATCGCTTACAAGTTTGGAAAGTTGAACCGATTCCTCCTGGTCAAACGTTGCTCGGATCTGTATGGGTTTTTCGTGTGAAGCACAATGCAGCTGGTGACTTTGTTAAGTTTAAAGCTAGGCTTTGTGCACAAGGAAGTTTTCAACGAGATGGGATCGATTACGGAGAAACTTATGCTCCGACGGGACGACCTTTGACTCTTCGAGCTGTGCTGGCTTACGGGGTCAACAACAATCTCGATATCCATCAAATGGACGTCAAGAATGCGTTTCTAAACGGAAAGCTAGAGGAAACGGTTTATCTCCGAATTCCAGCTGGACTTGACGCACCTCCAGGGACTTGTCTTCATCTGGTAAAATCAATTTATGGATTGAAGCAAGCTCCGAGAGTATGGTATCGCGAGTTGTCTTCGTTTTTCGGTTCAATCAACTTCTTTCCCTCCGCAAACGATCCATGTCTTTTCAAATCGGCGGATCCTGATTGGACGTGCTTGGTTCATGTGTATGTGGATGACTTGGTCGTGATCTCAGGTGATGTGGCAAGATTCAAGAAGTTCATCAACAACCGTTTCTTGATGGAAGACATGGGGCCAATTAGTTCTTTGCTTGGGATGAACATCACTCAAGCAAACGATCATCTTTCGCTTTCTCAGGCGAATTATGTAACTGAAATCTTGACTGAATATAACTATGTCACCTGTCGACCTGTTCCAACTCCAATGATACCTAACACTCGTCTGGTTTCGGAAACTGAAGAGGAAGTTAACGAGTTTAACAACTTGGGGATCAATTATCAAAGGGCAATAGGACTGGTGAATTGGGCTGCTGTCACAACTCGTCCCGACATCGCATTCACTGTTTCACAGTTATCTCAACATCTCGAGCGTCCTGGCATCGTTCATTGGCGCGCTTTCACTCATCTTCTTCGCTATCTCTCGCACACTATCAATTTTTCGATCAAGATAGGTGGAGGTGATAACAAGATATCCATCTATGTCGACACGGATTTTGCAGCATGCACTGATACTCGTCGTTCTTATTCGGCTTATCTTGTTCGCTGGGGCGATTCGATTATCTCTTGGAGGGCTAAAAAGCTTTCGACTCTTTCGACTTCGACCACTGAAGCCGAGTATAAATCTCTATATGACGGGATTCAAGAAGCTATCTCTATGCGTCTTCTGTTAGAATCACTCGGTCTACCGGTATATCCTATCCCCGTCTATTGCGACAATCAGGCTGCGATTGCTTTGTCACGCAACCCTTTATTTCAACAACGTACCAAGCACGTAGATGTGAAGTATCATTTTTCTCGAGAAGCGGTTGGGAAAAACTTGGTCGACATTTGCTATGTTTCTACTGCTGAAAATGAAGCGGACGGCTTCACCAAATCACTTCCCCAAATTCGTCATCAAGCATTTCTCGGTTACCTCAAAAACAATCTTCAACAATTTATCAAATCCGAAAATTGAGAATGAGGGGGGGTATTGAACTTTCTAGTTCTTTTCAGTTCTTTCTCTATTTTCATTGTACTTTATTCATTTCACACTTCGCACCGCAGTCATCTGAAACCTAGTTGATCTTCATAAAAGCGATCTCTTTACTTTGTATCGGTCTCTTTCTTAATCAATCAAATTGTTTCATCTAACCAACTTCATCGCTCCATCACTAACCTCAAACTACTTTAGGTTCGTTTCTTTTATCAATCTCATTCTCATTCATTGTAGCTTATCGTTGTGATCGTTTCAGGTTTGTGTTCTTCTTCAGGTCATCTTTAGCTCTATCGTGTAGATAGCTAAAATCACCTTCATCATAAAAGGTGTGTTTATGATAAAGCAATCAATCAAATTGTTTCATCTAACCAACTTCGTCACTCCATCACTAACCTCAAACTACTTTAGGTTTGTGTTCTTCTTCAGGTCATCTTTAGCTCTATTGTGTAGATAGCTAAA